GAGTTCCCACTCTCCTCAAGCGGTGGAGTTAGCGAAAGGGAATCTGACAAGGGTCGGCTGGCGGAAGAGGTCGGTTTCGGCCGTCGGACACCTCGCTAGATTCGCTGTCTGAATTCGTAGTGAGCAAGCGGGGAAGACAAAGCACTGGTGTCAAGAAATGGTCGTTTAAGCGTCGGAAAGTGGTTCATGCTTTCGTAGCTGAAGTGTGTCTAAGCTTAAGCACGCTACAGATGGAAGGTCTGGGAGAAGTGGATGGCTGTGGATGGTCGCGTGCTGCCAAAGACAAGACAAAGGCGTAGACACTAGGTGTGGCCTATGAGGTCTTAGGTATGATGGTGGTGCGCGAGTGAGGGGTATGTGTGGATAAGAGGTAAAATTATCTAATATTTTATTATGAATCATGTTTTTGTAAGTACTTATAATGCTAAGTAGGGTATGATCCACCGCGGCCCGGTCAAACTCAAGCTACTCAAGTCCAAACACCGTGACGAAGAGATGGAATATCATAGTATGGTTGACAGAAAATTGATATATTGCAAATCTTGTGCATACGCTGGGCGCAGTCAGACCTCTTCAAGTTGGATCAGCATCAAACCATGGATCAGTTCAAGTTACTTCCGTAACCTGACTGGTCCTTACCTGAGTCTGAGCCTCATGCCTCAGAACATACTCTCAGACCCAGAAACAATAACATTTGTATTTTGCTCGCTGATCCTATTCATATCGCACGGAATTTTGGGGGACACATGCAATGTGCATGTGTGTTTTCATCAATCCATTGAAGTTACAACCGCAGGCAGAATCGGAGACCAAGTAACCTACAGTGATGATACATAGCTGCATGTTCGATGTACGCCGCGCTACCGCAGTGTAATTCGATAAAAGTGCAAAAGTTGGGAAAGCAACCCGTGAAACCGAAAGGACAACAAAAAATTACGAAGGCGAAAGAACAAGAAACAAGCTCGAAAGGTGTGGTACAAGAGATGCACCAGATGAATAAGTTTGAGAAAAAGATTTCTCGATCGCCATGATAGACCGCACAATAAATAGGCTGACTGCTCAGCACGACCAGCCTTAAGTTAATGGAACGGTAATGAGCATGGTAGATCAAAGGTTTACCATGACCCAGATGATATCTATGGAGAGAAGGTGAAATCGTAAACATAGACAATAATGATCGATGAGCGTCCACTCACTCATACCATCGACAGGCAAAGATGGCATCGGTCATGCTATTATGCAATAACCTGCATAGCCCCATTTTGCGTCTGCATCGACTAACAAATATTGTTCGTCGTCACCATTGCAAAAGCCCTGAACTGGGAATAGCGGCGGATCTGGCTCGAGGAGCGCATATATATCCGTCATTGAGTCAAATGAATCCATTGAGTATCAGTGCGAGGTGGAGAAGGGATGATGATTATCGCAATATTGGAGGAGTAGGTTTCAGAATGGAGTAGGTGTCGCGGGGGAGGGATAGGTATCGCAAAAACGCTCCGAGTGAACGAGAGTAAAAAGTTGGGTTCTTGATATGCACCAGTGGGAAGGTTACGAAGGGTATTTATTAAGTGTCCACGGGTGAGGATGCAAATTATATGGAACCACATCACAATAGATTAACTGTGGCAGTTATCAAGGACAATGGATAACTTAACATGCCATTGTTGGCTCGAAAGGTCAAGTAATGGACCAAGCTTCCGGCGATAAGTCACTTCACTCACGTTAGGCCGCTAGCTAGCTGCTAAGCCGACTGTCATTATCTAGTCCAATCGAAATATAAGCGCCCATGACAAAAGCTAATCCAACAAAGGACAAATTTGAAACTCCGATCTGATTCCGCCCTTTGTGGTTTGGCCAATTGTGCATTAAGCTTCAAGTATAGAGAACAATCAAAGATGAAAGAAATCAAAATTCGCCGTCTTCAGTGTTCACTGCTTGATATCCTTCACCACTTACGATGACGGCCTCTGACCCAACCTACCCTGCCTTCCCAGCACTGGCTTTGATTGGCGTGGTACTCGTACTCATTCCCTTGCCCTGGCACTTTCAAGCATGGAATTCAGGAACTTGTCTTTACATGATTTGGACGGCACTCGGTCTGCTCAACCTAGCAATCAACTCCATTGTGTGGCGATCCTCTGTTATCAACTACGCACCAGTTTGGTGCGATATATGTAAGACTTTGTCCAGTTTGTCTCGTTTGCTGGCTGACCTTCATGAATGATAGCCCCGCGTCTCATCGTTGGAGTTAGTGTAGCGATACCTGCCGCGTCTCTGTGTATCAATCGACGTTTGTACAAAATTGCCACTATCAGTACTGTGACTACGACAAAGGCCCACGTACGTTGATTCGTCCTCCGCTCATCTTGGTTCTGACGGCCTTGCAGCGACGGAGGGCTATCATGGTCGACCTGGCAATAGCTTTAGGGATTCCTATGCTGCAAATGGTCCTCCGTAAGTTCATTCGCACCTCCGTTTTTGTCTTTTTAACATTTTGCATCTAGAATTTATCGTCGAAGGCCATCGTTTCAACATCTTCGAGGAAATCGGGTGCTACCCGTTTACCTACAATACATGGCTCGCGTATCCCTTGTCCAACCTCTGGCCTCTTGTGATTGGTCTTATTTCTGCTGTATACTGCGGTAAATTTTTATTCGCAGCAATGACCGTTCTAAGCTCACAATAACCCCACAGTTCTGACCCTTCGTGCCTTCATGAAACACCGTGCACAGTTCAGCGAATTCTTGTCGTCCAATACCTCACTTTTTATCAATCGCTACTTCCGTCTGATGGCACTCGCCACGCTGGAACTTCTTTTATTCGGCTGTGGAATCTTGAACGCTCCGTCGCGTTGCTTTTTCAGAACAAATGGGCTGCCAGGGGTGGCCCACTTTCGGGCTTGTGGGCATGCTGTGGGTCGTCTGCAGCCGCAGGGCTGGGGTCGATTACCACATTTATTGATACGTATACGTTGCACCTATCAATATAAGTATGCTAAATATACCTCTATCAATATCTCAATCAACAAAGTTGGAGCTCAATGAAACTGGATCGTCATCATCATCATGCACCATGATTTCCGCATGGTGAAGGCGGGAGAGTTTAGTCCGAGATACCACGTTGGGCACAGATACCGACATTAGAACAAACTTCAAAGGACCAATTTGAAACTCCGATCTGGTCTGGCTAATTATGTAAGTAACTCAGGATCAGTGGTTCGAGGTACGTTGGTGGATCACTTTAAATTTGTCAGTGGACCTTCCAATTGAATCGCCTTTCTCATTGTACTTACTTACATATTATTATTTTTGGCTGTGGAATCTTAAACGCCCCGTCAACTGCGTTGCTTTTTTAGAGCGAATGAGCTGTCCATGTCAGGTGACAGGTGCGGTCCACTGTCGAGCTCGTGGACATGCTGCCGCTGTGGGTCATATTCAGCTTGAGGCATCGGTAGATACTCAGGTAAGGGTAGGCTATAGTACGTACTGCACCCTGGCGCAAGTATGTGAAATATAATTCTCTTGGAGGTCATCGGTGGCAACTTGGAGGTGGCTGTTGAGTATTGAGTGTTGATAATCGGGTGCTAAATCATATGTGTCATGGCCTGGTGATGACTTCCGCAGGCGGAAAAGTATTGCGAAAGCTCGCCTTCAAGCTCCAGCCGTTAGCATCTGTTAGACTTCATATATATCAGCAGCGAGTATAGATAAATTAGCTTAAAATCGTCTCATCAGATCTTTGTCCACTGGCAGGTGCACGTCTAAAGCGGCCGGTGGGAACGGTGGACTCAGGACTGGTACCGTAGTACTTACGCCTCACCGGGGCATTCGTGATCCCAGAGATGCGACAGGGACACAGGGTCCCTTGGACGTAAATTAGCCCAAGATACCGCAGATGACGTTGGACCGGATAACCTAACCTGCTCGGACCACTACTACTATATACCATTGTTCTCGCATGCAGGTGATCATATCAAGATATTTCATTGTAATCCTACAGAGCTAACAAGGATTGTGTGGCGATAAAAGAAGGGAATTAACGAAGGGCTAATAATACAGGCTCTGGTGCTTGTTATTGGAAGGAATGGCACGTCAAACAATATCGTGTCCATCAATGTCACCATTGGAAGATGGAGACGAGTCTACCAGAGAGTAATGTAACGTGGGGGCATAGGACGTAGGGGTGGTCGGGAATGATTCTGAGATGGGGGAACACTTAACGATCGACGAAACTTCTTCGCTGGTCGATGTCTTCTCAGAGAAAGAAACAGACGAAGTCGATTCGGAGGACTTCGTGACAGACGAAATAATAGGTGGAAGAGTAAGACCACTTTTTGGACCATGAAGCCTATTTCAGTCAATCAGAATACAGAAAATGGCAAACGAATGGTGATGGACATACCGAGCAAATGATGACGGCCCCAACACAGTGGGACGCTCCTTGTTTGGTGGTGGTAGACGTAGGACCGTGGTGCAGAACCACTGGAGACTCTTGCGATAATCCTTCATTGCATCCTCTCCAAAGGAGAAAAACACAAAAAACAATGCGGCGGAAATCGGTACCACCCACCAGAGCGCGTAATTCCACGCAAGTGTAGTGGATGGAATAATAACCGTAGGGAAGTATGCAATTTGGGAAAAGCCATCATGAACGTTGTCCCAGCTTATCCAAGGTCGCAGGCCATGCTGGCAAGTAAACCACATGTTCAGTGAAGTGACAAGTATGCCCCAGAACATCTCGATAACGGCCATGCTCATCAACCGAAAATATCGTGAAGTGGTCAAGCCGGTGTTGGAGTCTTGAAGGTGCTTCGCAAAAGTAACACGACGGCGGAAGAAATATATCAGGGCGACGCCTTCAAAAGATCAATGACTTTAGATCCAAGAGCAGCAATTAATGGGGCGTACCAGCGTAGCCAACTGTCAAAAGAGCCACGGCTATGGGGGGGACCCAGATAATAAAAATAGCAGTGATGGACACGTAGATGGTTGGTCGACAGCCGAAATCTTCAATTATATCAAAACGATGGCCTTGCACAATGTAATCTGTAAAATAAAATAAAAATCAACAGATACGCGTGAGTATAGGCAATGAGTACATACGAAGCGCCATGTAGATCATAGGTAAAAGCCAACAGAGAGCAGCATCGAATAGCATTCGACGCATTTTGTCTGTATGTGTTGACTGAACTTGGCGTATAGAAGCAATGCGTTCCAGATGAATGCAGATACACAAGCAACATGCCGGGAGTGCCATATTGGCACCAATTTGAATCTTTGTAGCTGGCCGCAGGCGCTTAAGCACCAATCAACGAAAATGCTGGGCAACATACCGATGTCACACCACACAGGTGCAATGTTGATAACATTCCCGACCCATATGATGGAGTTGATGCCAAATATAATGTTGGAGACGAAGAGCCAAGCTATCATGGAAAGAGTGGCGATGTTTCTAGCTCTCCAGTGCCATGGTAGAGGAATGAGAACGAGAGCTGCTGCTAAAAACGCCCCGATAGGCAACTCGACATGCATGGTGTTAGCAAAGAGCTGTGACGGTCGCCCACTAGGTTTATAGGTTGAATGCAAGCCATTGTTCCAAATAGTTCGAGGACAAAGGGAATTGAAAGGGAACATGCCAAAAATGGACGATAATCACTTCAAAGTTCAAACCCCGCGATGATGTGCAATTATGACTAAACAATGACGATGCTAAGTGCTAGTAAGCGCATTAATTAGTGGAACAAAAGACATACCACTGTGACGATGGTCATTGTCTGGAACCCACACATTACAGCTGTCAGCCACAACGAGGTGAAATTTTTTTCACTATGTGGCACTAAAATCTTGCCGTTGTGGGTAGAACAATGTGTCTTCCTCTGCACATAAAGAAAACAAAGGATGCTCTCGAACTACCCCAACTTACCCCCCATTACACTTCGTCCCGCCTACATGGACTCATTTACAACATATCTTGACATCTTTTCAAAGTCACCACTAGACTTGCATGGGTCTACAGACGACCCCCCCTGCCCTATTGACGAAGAATATTGGGGTCATGGGCAGAGCGGGTTCTGTACCATATCATAATCCTTTTCACGTAAGTCTTACGCAGGCTTCATATGCGCTTCCATCGAATGACGCTTTCTCCAGCACAGCATATTGCGGGCATCCTGCTGGCTTCTACTATTTTGTGCTTCATTGCTTCTGTTTGGTATGATCCAATTTTCTTATGTCCATCTCATGACTCATCTTTTGGTAGATATAGTGGACTCGCTGCCCATGCAGCATTATTTATTTTCGAGAACTTGCTGCTCGTGCAGCATTCTTTATTTTCGATGTTCTTGTACCCTGCTCGTGCAGCATTAGCTATTTTCGATATTCGTGTACCCCTTACTACCTCGCTAGTAGTACCTCCAGCCGTCTTTCCACTCCTTACTTCTCTGGAGATTGTCGTTCTAGCTATCGTTATTCTTACTTACGTTGGATTAGTACTCATTCGATCTTGTCGCTTTAACATTGGTGTCAATTTTTTGACTCATACTCTGCCTTGCACCTCATAATTTTCAAAGTATCGTCTTCGTTGCTTGTTGTCAGTGCCAAACCTCCGCCTATATTTACCAGCTGCCTGGCGGGGGCTCAAAACGGGATGCTCATAGCGCACACCCGTCCAACGTGATCACAGGCTCAGCCAGGGCATACAACCACAGGCGGGAGAACTTCGAGAACAAAAATGGTGGCATAATCGTGCAATTGTGAATGTTGCGATGTCTTAGCAAGTAAGTACACAAGGAACAAGGTTAAGTCAACGCCGACACATAGTACTAGTACACAATCGTCTGTCAGAAAAGATATTGGTGCTCAATCTGTGCTGTTATAACATTAACGAGTACCGTTATCGGACACATAAGTAATGCCCGCACCCCCAGTGTTCAACTAGAAGTTGCGTGACCCTATAGTCATCCATCAGGAGGTGGAAATGGTTTCGATAAAGTCCAGCCGTGAGTCCGTACGTATATCGATATTCACTCACGAGACAAATACATAAGTAGCTACTACAGACAGGAAAGTCGGGAACGAAAACAGCGGATAACACGGTTGATACGTCCCAAACTAATCTACACTAAGCTACAGAAGAGCAAAAATATCATTATTTCGCTTTACTTTCTCTTTCAATTTTCAATCCTCCTTCCTGGACGTTCGGGCTGTCTTACAGCTCAATTATTTATATCATGGGGCTTGATTCTGTAGCTTTATCGCTCCTTTGTCGTCTTCGTCTTCGTGTAGTATACTTACTTATGTTGCTCTGATATACGTCGTACTGCCAACTTTTGCTGATGGGATATATCCCACCGTGCCAAAATATTACATTCTTCACTATTGCCATACGACTCGCGCGAGGCTGAGAGCTAATTCGAGTTTTGGGTAACGGACATGCTGCGATATCGATACACGCAGATGTGAGGATGATAGGTGCGAAACCAAAGGCGTATACCTATCCCATCTATCACAGCTCTTTGTCAGGTGATTGCGCAGCACCATTACAGACACCCTAGAACATTGATAGAGGACCATCTTTCACAGTGAGGTAGAAATGGTTTCACTAAAGTCTAGCCGTCTGTACGTATATCGATATCCACTTGCGAGACAAATACATAAGTAGCTACCACAGACGAAAAAGTCGAAAACGAAAACAGAGAATAGCATGGTCGATACGCCCCACACTAATCTACACTGATGTACAGAAGAAGAGCGAAAAGGCCCTGCTGGCCAACGAAGTAGAGCGCATAACACGCAAAAAAAAAAGCGAAAAGGCTATGCTGGCCAACAAAGTAGAGCACATAATGCACCCCCATAAAAAGAAAGAAAAAAAGTCGCAGACGCGTGAAGTCGAAAAATAGGAGCGAATTTGAACAGGTGGATCCTCCGCAAACTACTTCACGGAAGAAAGACCGAAGGGGTCCTGATGGGCAATAAATAGATTGTGGTCTTTCGGCAACGGATAAATTAGGACAACGCTGCACATCGATGCCATGAGCCTGACGAACAGACGGGAGAAAAAGCAGACGAACGTACATCACAGATCGTTTCAAAAGCAAGAGAGGCCGCTACCAACGGCAGACCTCTTAGGCAATGTTACAAAAGTAGCCGGAGCCAAAGCTCGCAGAGTGTTCAAACTCCATAAGAACCGATTCATTTGAATTCGGATCATAAGCAGATGCTTCGAAGGGAACAGTTTGTTCAGGAAGATCTGATGGGAGTAAGGACTGTAGGAAAACGAATGAGTCCGTCATTGAGTACGACGGACAATGTGATGAGATATGATGGAGGTTGTTTGCGAGCAAAGGAATTGGTGTCACTAGGTGTCGCTAGGGCTTTTAAGCTGCGGAATTGACTGTGGGTGCTGGGCGCAGTGATATTATGGCAACGAGCGGAAGAATAATTAGTTGTGGACTCAAGTCACATCGCAAATCCTTATATCATAAAGGCCCACAACAATGATGAATTTCCACCTGTCAGGGAGTCAATGGCCAGACATTATCCGGCACTTGTCCGGCACCCATTGTTGATTAGAATTCGCATTGTCCAATGTCGGAGTAAAAGACGGTTATTGTTCATCACGTCTAGACATCCCCGTAATGGTGCGCACGGGGCCACTAAATTAGAATATGCAAGCCTGAAGAATGACGCTGACTGAGAGGAATTGAGAGTATTAACTAGTGATCAATAATAAATCGGTTCAGTGACATGCAAACCATCCGTTGAATGCGAACCTCATTTAATTTTGACCCGAGTACTGAGTAAGCGGATGTTTTGCATTATTTGTGCGTATCATACCCATTGTGACGTGCACGTGGTAAAGAATCATAGGGCCTTTGTCTTCCAGCATTATAACACTAACAATGTATTCAAAGGTTCGTCCTCTTCGCCTTCCTTTACGCGTACCACCATACGATGTCACTTCGAATGCAATATCCATCCCTCCCAGTGGCTGCCTTTCTCGCTGCTGCGCTCATTCTAGTTCCTTTGCCGTGGCATTGGCGGGCTCGCAATGTCGGGACTCTTGCCATTATAGCATGGCTCTTTGTTGTAAACATGATCTATGGCATTAATTCCATAGTATGGGCTGGAAACGTCAACAATCCAGCTCCACTCTGGTGCGATATATGTGAATTTCCAAGGTGTCTCGTCGTTACTGGAGAACTGACAGCCCTTTCTAGCTACTAAGCTCATCATTGGTGCAAACACTGCATTGCCGCTAGCTACCATGTGCGTGTGCAAACACCTTGAACTAGTAGCGTCGAATCGGCACGTTCGCTTTGATCACGTCGATAAACGCCGGCGCATCATTTTTGACACCATCATGTGCTTCGGTGTTCCGTTGCTTTTCATGGCCCTTCGTAAGCATCGCCTCACCATCTTTCATTGTCACTGCTTCACGATATTACAGATTACATCGTACAAGGTCACCGATATGATATTGTCGAGAACTTTGGCTGCCAGCCCACCACATACTTTTCGATTGAGGGCATCATCATAGTTTGGTTACCGCCCCTGATTTTTGCACTCGCTACTCTTGTGTACGCATGTCAGTGATTGTGATTGGGTGCTCGAGCATACGTTCATCTTGATCTATTTCAGCTATCGCGCTTCATCACTTCATTTACCGGCGCATGTCCTTTGCGGCGCACTTGCAGAATTCCAACTCAGCACTCACGACTCAACGTTATCTTCGCCTAATGGCTATGGCCGTTACGGAAATTACGTGGGGAACTGCATTGACAGCCTTCAATCTCTACAACAACACCGAATCAGGGCTGCGACCGTGGATCAGTTGGCAGAATGTTCATTCCGATTGGCTACGTGTCGACCTCGTTGCCTTCATTGAACTCCCCCCAGCCTTCATTAACAACATGTTTCTGGTGTGGTGGGCGATGCCTGCGAGTGCTTATATTTTCTTCCTTTTCTTCGGCTTCGGCGAAGAGGCGAGGAAGGAGTACCGCAAGGTTATTATCGCCTTCAGAAGACATGTCTTGAGACAGTCGGTTAAAGATAGTAGCGTCTTCAGATCAAATCAGCCAAGTCTCAGGCAAGTGTTCCTTTTATACGTTGCGAGGCTTGCTTATCAACATTGTGCTGCAGAAATCGTCCTTTCCTGAACGTCGCAACTCTCCCGTCTTTACGGCTGGTTGGTGACGAGAAGTCGATTGACGAGGGGTCTGTATCGTCATCTACAGTCCCTGCTACCCCGCTCAAGAAGTGCGGGGATGACGATTATTTATCACCAACGTTTGACATCACTCCCCTCCCAACATACACTCCTGACCTTGAATGCGGATACCCAGCTGAAGATGCGACCCACGATCGACTGCCTGACACATCTTTGTCATATCGCCCCTCAGAGAGCTCACTTCGGGAATTGCCCCGACAAATGTCATCTGACTACTCTTGTCCCCCACTGCCCGCTGGTGCCTATCAGAGCAGTGTATGTGAGGATGAGTACACCTCCTGGCCGCCCCGAAGGGGGGATGACGCCGTATGAACACCGCTCCGTTTCTCGTATCGCATTATTTGTGGCATTTATACAACCTTTCGCGTTCATGTCTATTATTTCTACTCACTTTCAACAACGTATTCATACTGATACAACACAACACAACCTTTGTATTCCTAGATTTTTTGCGTTGACGCGCCCCACGATCTTTCTTAACTTGCAATGTTCATCGGATCTATGGATACGTCTCATTTCTGCCCGCGTGCGGGGTAATATATTGTCATGAACATACTGTGAACACTCTGATAGTCACGAGAGTGCTGGGTCCGCGATCTGGGTCGCGGGCAAAGGTGACCAATCTGTCTGCTCTCACTTTTCAAAAGACATTGAAGTCGTGTACTCCAGATGTAGCTAGGACTTTGAGGATGGTACTAAGATGTCACATCCGAATCATGTGATGTGACATTTGGTGATTATTACATAATACAATGAACTTTGTGACGTTTGCGGAATTGTGTAGTTGGCATGAGTTCCGACACTGCCAGCGGAAAATAAGACTAAAGCTGAAGGCTCGCACATGTACGCAGAGGGTACAATGAGACTCTTCAGAAATGAGCCATTGTTTACTCAGACTGGTTAACAATGGACGTCATGCGATGTCACATGACATGTGATGTGACAATTGGTGATCGTCAATGAAGAGTTTATTGAGCAACTCCGACCACCATTGTCCCCGTTCAGTGACAGTGATATCATAAAGATGGAATCAAAAATCATGAGTGTATTTCTTTTTCTAGCACAGTATTATCTGCTTCCATCGTCGTCGACGATACCAATAATATTGCGATGAGCAATAGTACGAATCCAACGTATCCCCTCCTCCCCTTTTTTTCCTGCTTGACTTTCTTCCTTGTTCTCATCCCCTTCCCATGGCACCTGCAAGCATGGAATGCAGGCACTTGCGTCTATATGTTCTGGGGAGGTATTTCGTGTCTCATCCAATTTGTGAACTCTATCGTCTGGCACAACAACGTATTGAATGTCGCGCCTGTATGGTGTGATATCTGTCAGTGACAACCTATTCTGTCTCTAATGTTGTCCTTGCTAACGCGACTACAGCAACGAAACTTTTCATCGGAGCCAGCGTTGGCCTCCCTGCCTCTGCTTTGTGTATTAGTCGCCGATTGTATACAATAGCTGTCATCAAAACCGTGTCGGTGACGCGTGAGGATGTACGTCAAACCCTCTTCTATCCCGAGTGAGTGCTTGTGCTAAGCAGCCGACAGAAACGTCGTGCTGTCATCGGTGATCTCTGCATCTCGATCGGTATTCCCGTCACAGTCATGGCACTTCGTGCGTACCTTCTCAGCAACGAAACAATACTATCCCATGCTGACTATACTGAACAGACTATATTGTTCAAGGACATCGTTTCGATATCCTCGAGGATGTCGGTTGCTGGCCAGCAACTTACAACGTGATACCAGCATATTTCCTGGTATATATGTGGCCTTCATTACTTGGCTGCATTTCCTTTGTCTATTCAGGTTCGTTGTTTTTCATCTCAAATGATCAAAGCTCAATTTTCTCCAGGCCTGACTCTTGCTGCATTCTATAAACGCCGTCTGGAGTTTAATTCCCTCATATCATCGAACAACTCACTGAATGTCAACCGTTATGTCCGTTTGATGATGTTATCGGTCATCGAAATGGTTTACACCGTGCCAGTCAGTATCTATAGCGTCTTTATCTCTGGATCGAGCCTACCTATTGAGCCATGGATATCTTGGTCCGATACCCACCACAACTTCTCGTATGTCGGCCTCATTCCCGCTGCCGAGTGGACCAGCAATTCAACCTACAAACAATCCATTGATATGACACAGTGGCTCTTTCCTGTGTGCGCCTTAATGTTCTTTGCACTCTTTGGCTTCGCGAACGAAGCGAGAAAGCATTATCGACTGTACTTCCTTTGGGTTGCAAAGCGCTTCGGCTTCAATCTTACTGTAACACAGACATCGACCCCGCATCCTCCCAGGTTGGTGTCAAACACATTCGTGACCGTTGTCTATACTAAAATATGCGTCAGGTGGAAAGGCGCTATCAAGTTCGCTGGAGACCTGCCAGTTGGTTCATTGCCAGTTTACACCACTCCTGCCCCTCCTCGGCTCAAACTCCGGTTATCTTTCAACTCTGCCCTCGACATCAAGATCTCTGATTTTGACCGAGATGTCGAGAATCGTGCTGAATTAACACCGCCGCTGCCTCCATACTACAAGGAAAATTTCTTTGGAGATTTCTCGCCCACCACGTCAAGTTATTCCTCATCTGATATAGAGGCATGTGTAGTTGATGTCGACCTCGAAACACCATCCGAAGTTCATTCTTGGCAACCTTCGCGGGAGCGCTGCACGGAGCATTCTGTGATCCCCGCATTCCATCGTCCCTTCACGCCACCCAACTTATACCCTGTTGCCTGTGACGAGGACGGCTCCATGCAGTCATTGACTGCGTCCGTCGCGGTACAAGCGCAAACCCACACCACTGAAAGTTCATGAGCGGTCGTTCTTTGTATTTTTCTTCATGACGCATACAATATATTCGTACAAGGGACTAATACCCGTGTTCACGCTAGCCTGCCCACTGTATCCCTATCATTTTTCAGTCACTTATCTAACTTATACCACATTCTTGTTTCACCCCTTTCGATTTTCGCTCGTTTTGTAATACTTGACCAACCGTACTTCCTGCAGTGACTACTACCAAACTGCTTATACCACCTTATATGGAATAATAGATTATTTTATCCTGCACACCTGTCTACCGATCAAAGATGGGGCGAAGACTAGAATCCGATACCGCTCTGCCAAATAAAACCAGCGTGCACTTGGATAGAGTCAAGAATGGCAGCGTCGACATGGGGCAGTCTGCAAACTCATGCATTATAAGACGGTGCTAAAAAGCACCCAATGTGTGTTAGGTCCCTCATCTGATGAGACCGACGTAACAAGGCGCCTGCATGTATGAGAACATCAAGGTCGTATCAACCAAGCAAATCGTCGAGAAAATCTTCCATCTCCAATTTGGGCGCCTTCCTCGGTGCGTCAGTAGGAAGTGCTGGCGCCTCAGAATAGTTATCATCTGACAGATGCGTAGAACGAAGTTTCAGTATGATGATCTGCATTGATGAGAAGACTCTACCTTGTTTTCTATCGAGCGTAAAGAGAGGCTTTGACTTGAGTTTCTCCGACTTTGCACGGAATCGCGCTTTCAGGTCTATGAACCATAATCAGTCTTCTACACATGAGCTATCATTAGTTAGAAGTCACCTCGACTTGCATCTGCAGCGGCCTTTTCGCGACTCATTTCCTCAAGTTGTGCATCCCATTCGATCGTTTGTACACGCCCCTTCTGAGATGTTGGAGGTGGGTTACGATGAGATGAGATATGTGCGAGGTCATGGTCGATATCATCATCATCGACCGGAGGCGCTACCACTGCAGCCACCTCCGAGACGTCCGATAACCGCTGTCTCTCAAGAAATGACGAAAGGTCAATCTCCGGCTCACGAATCTCCTCTCCTACGCTGTGTCAAACACCTCGAAGCCCAACAGGTCTTCCACTTAACACTCACCGTCAGAATCCAACTCAGGCTCAGGCTCCGCATAACGATCGGCGTTGGATCCAAGTTGCCGTCGCGCATACTTCTTTTGCAGCTCTTTCGCCTCTTCAGAATCAGGGTCGAGATCAACCACCTCTTCATCCTCCAGCACTAAGCGCTTATGGAATTCCGCTGGACGGCCGCCTCGACCACGACCTCGTGCGCGGAGGTACTTGCCTAGCCCACCACGGGACTTTCCACGACCTCTCCCGCGAGCACGGGATGGCTCAGAGGTTGATGCGGAAGTTGATTCTGACATGTTACGCGGGAAGATTGATATGGGCGCTCATGATGTAGGCAAGTAGAAATCTATATATCGAAAAAGGAAGGCAGCACCTTGTGTTTTCAACAGGTCCAAACAAACACCACCTTGAGTGGTCGAGTCACGAGTGCCCCAGTAATCCATAGCATCACACAATACGCATCAGGCAACAATTTGGTACATCGCAATTGGGAAGAGCCAGCGCTACATGATGAACTTCTCGATAGTGCTACAGGTCCTGCTACTCTCCATCCCAAAAATCACCGCTAAAGGAACAGTATACGCCCCAAACATAAATGCACATGTGAATCATAAGTCCAATGCATAGCATAACAAGTATGTCAGTTACATCGCACGCAATGTGCTCATGCCAATTGAGAATTACCGGTGTAGGCTCTGGAACGAAAAGGCGCGGTGCTGTGATCAGAATCACCTGAGGGTCCTCGACTGGACGCTCAGTAATCTCCCGGCTGGGCCAGCGCAAAGTCATAAAATAATCGTAGACGACCTTTCTCCACCCTTCGACCTCTTTCCGTTTTTTCCTCTCTAGTTGGTTAGACAAGCAGTAGCACAGATAATCTCGATCTTCGTGCAGCCAAATTCGGTTAGCTGCCAAGGAGAACAGGATTTCTCGATTTTCATTTCCTCGAGATATTCACGCTTGAGAATATCTTCCATGTCATGGAAGAAGCCAGGGTAGGAAGCAAGGCAGCCTTCATATATGGAGATGTCGTCAGCATCATCCGATAGAAACTCGGAAGTGGTCGGTGTTCTAGAAACAGTAACGCCGATTAGCGCGAGAGGGGAGGGAGAATAGGATTCGTACATTTGAAATAAGACAGGAGCGCAATGGACCCCTCTCAGCGGGTGATTTGGGAAATCTGAGTCGTTGATTGGTGCCAAAGTACGCTGGCGAGTCATCGAAGCGGACCATCTGCCCAGATTCCAGAACGAATCACCGAACCGTCGGCTATAGTCCAAGAGCAACAATTACTTTCGGACTGGTACATCCCCCCTCGGTCGGAAACCAAACGAGCGTCAGACGAAGGTGAGGAAAAACGGTACTTCACCATCAGGGAAAGACGCTCTCTTTCGTGAAGGGCGAAGTAGTCGTCTGCACGAAACGCAGAATACTGTAAATAATGAGATTTGCAAATGTAGAGAATAGACTGGAAAGGCGGCGAAGCAGAAGGGTGTCAACAATCTCTCCTGGATCTGGTTATGATAATGCGACAGAATGTGCATAGAAGGCAGATTGTGCGATACGTATGGTTGGTTGACCAAGGTTCGATGTAGAGAACGAACAATTAGAGCAGCACTAGTACTGCTTGTGCTCGATGAGCGTGCTTTCCGAGACATATGACTATAC